CACTGCACGTACGTGGTCGCCCGTGTACTCGACAGCCAGAAGCTTCGGCGGCTTGTAGACGCCCTTGGCAGCCACCTCACCCTCTCCCTCTCCCTCTTCCTCAGGCACCTCCCCTTCGCCCTCCTGCTCATCGCTCTGCTCCATTTGGTCGTCGTCGGCTTCATTTGGGTTCATCAGCTGGTCCAACCGGGGCCTCAGCGGCTGCGCAGCCTCACTGGCCGCCTCTGACATGCACACACACGCGCGTGTGAGTGGACCGATTTCGTTGTTGCATGTGGGGTGCATTGTCTGTGGGTGAGTCGAGTCACCTTGGATTGGTTTGGCGGCCATGTCGAGCAGTCTGTTGACCTGGTAGGCCAGGCGCTGGTCGATGGGGCGCATCTTCTCCATCAGAGTGCGCAGCAGCACCAGCTCGTCGACCACGGGGTGGGGGCTGACCGACGCACTCTTCACCTGAACCACATCAATCGGAAAACGTGTGAGAATGTGTGTGTGTGTGCGTGATATGGATGGATGGCTGACCTTGAGCAGCGTGTAGTACGTGAGGTAGATGGTGTAGGTCAGCAACAGCTGCGCCTTGACGTCGAGATACGAGATGCCCTGACACACACACACACAGCAGGTCTATATGCCTCTGCCTCTGCCTCGCCCATCCCTCTCCTCGCTCGCCCACCTTGTCCACATGAATGCTGGTCCCATCAATCGTCTCGTTGAGCGACTCAAGCTTCTTCCGCAGACTCTCAGCCTTCCCCCTCAGCTGGCCAAGCGCACTCAACACTCCCTCATCAGCCACATCCTCGCCATCCACACGCAGCAGCTCATCCCTGCTGCTGCCCTCACGTCGAGACGAGCGGGATGTGCCATCTGGCGGGGCAGCGAAGCGGCGGAGCGCCTCATAGTCCACGAGCGGGTCCTCGACAGCATCTCTCTCGGTGTCCGCGTGATGATCTCCATTCATCAGCTCGGTTTGCGAGTTCAGGGCGTTGGCAAGGTCTCGTAGTCGCCTTAGGCGCTCGCTGGTCGGAGGCCTCATGATTTCGAGATCTCACCTTCTAAGCTCGCAGTTGGATCGCTGGTGGCTCCCGCAGAAGGCTGAGCACAGCACAGTACAGCATAAGATCGGAAACGTGAGTGCGTCACAGCAGACAAGAAGGTAGATACAGCGATAGATAGATCTGTATTTGACCATGCGTTGTGTTGTGTGTGTCTTCTCATACAGGTCATCCATCGCCAATGCCCCGTTTCCCTCTGCATCGGCTCTCCCAGCATCTCTCGCCTGTTCGCCGCCTCGCCACAGACATACAGCTAACGGCCGGCGGCAGACACGTGTGGAAGACACTGAGTGCATCGCACTGGCAGCAACTGGTCGCCCGCAACATCGAGAGGCGACTGGCGGATCTCGAGAGGCAGCGAGGCCATACCGCGGCCATGCACGCGAAGATGGAGGTGCTCGAGGCACAGCTGGCGGCGTGCAAGAAGCCTCTTGATGCCAGACCGAGGTGCCTGGCGGACGTGGAGAGGACCATCACGGCGCTTCGAGGCGCGGCGCATCGGCCTGCAGCCAAGCCCACGAGCTGCGGGGGACGGCTCTATGAGCTCATCGTTATTTTGGCCCCTCCTTGCTGTTTCGTTGCGGCCATGTTGACTGAGAACGTCTTTCTCTTCTGCTTGGGCCTTTTTATATTTGCGGTTTTCTGAGCGGTCATGCGGTTGCCTCTGCCTGGCTGGCTCTCACGGTGGTCGGGCGTGCATCCCAGCACGGCAGCAAAAGACAACTCAGCTGCTGCAGCACGATTGATTATGCAGTGGTTGAAGCGAGGATCCAGATGCCCACTCAAGGCCACCGAAGAGCGCCTGCGGGCGCCGCTTGCCGTGTCTGGCCGTGCCTGCTGTCATTGTCGGCATGGGTGTCTGCGTCCTTTGTGGATCTGCAGTGACTGCTTTGCTGCGGGCCATTTGTGGGGCCAGTATGTTCGCATGGCTGAACTCACCTTTGCGTCGGCTGCGTGTCGATCCGTGCTGCGAGACCGGTCATGAGCCGATCGAGTGGTTATTCAGCCGCTGTAGGCTAGCCGGTGTGGCTGCTGTAGACTACTCGCACTGCCAGTGGCTGCCTTTTGTATGATGTGTGTGGTGGGATCGATGTCTTGTGTGTGTCGGCTGTGTGTTCGCGGCAGAGAGACATTGGCGTGAGGATGCAATCGAGCAGTAAATGAATGCATTGCCAGCCGTGATGGATCGAAAGGTCTCACAGACAGCCAACAACAGTCCATCCATCCGTCCCACCGCTGCTAGCCACTCGCATCATCCACCTGCACGCATCTACGGCCCGTTCGGTGTGTCTGTCTATCGGTCTTCGGTCGGGCGCCTTCCGCTTCCTGACGGCCCCATGGCGATCAGCCCCGTCGCCCTCGCTTTTGCTGTCCTCGGTATCGTTGCCCGCCTCTCCCTCTCCCTCTCCCTCCCCGCTGCTATGGCAGCTCTTGCGCTTGCCGGGCCGCTGTTGCTGCTTGCAGATGTGTTGGTCTGAATGAATAAGATGACGCAGAATGGAAAGATGGAAAGATGGATGGATGGACAGAGACATAAATCTTCTTGCGCACTCATTATCCATGTCCACCCCTCCCACCCACCCACCGGCTGGCTTGGCTGCTGTTGGCCGGAGGCCTCCTTCGGTGGGGCGGGTCTGGGGACCACAAAGCCCTAACGACAAAGACAGACAGACAGACAGACGGACAGACAGACCGACAGACAGACAGACAAGGGGAGTCTGTCACTTCGTCGGTCGGCTGCATTGTCCGTGAGGGCATGTGTGCATCTTCTTTCTTCCTTGCTTCCTTCCTTCCTTCCTTACCGCGTCGGTCACCCACTCCTGAAGGCCTTTCTGGTGCTCGGTCTCCTCCACACAGCCGTCCAACCTGCACACATGCGCAAAGGAAGACAGATGCTCTCTCTCTCTCTCTCTCATTGGCGTGTCTCCACTTGCTTACAGGCTGACTATGGCGGCCATGCGATCTTTGATGCCTTCGTACACGGCGACCTCGAGCTTCCCGAAGGGCAGTTCGTCAACCGTAGCGAACAGCCTTCTCAGCCCACCAAAGACCCCCTCACGGATGGATTCTGTGCGCATGCGGAAACACACACGTAACACGTGTTGATTGATCCCCTCACTCATACACACATCTCTCTCTCTCTCTCTGTCTCTCTCACCCACCGGGCATCATGTTGGCGACCTCCCTGCGCCATCTGGCCTCCATCGCGTAGCGGGTCTGGACGAAACGCTCGACGGCGTCCGTGACCTCATTGTCGTCCCACCCCACCAGGAGGGAGGGTACTTGGCCAAGGTCGCCTTGAGCAGCTTCGCGCCCTGGTATGGCGCCCAGCCAGTGCGCGCGTTGGTGCTGAGGAGGCTGAGCACAAACCGCACGCTCATCGAGAGGTCATCCCTAAGGAGGGAAGGACAGAATTGGGACAGAAGGGAGGAAAGAGACAAGGAAGAGGAACACGAGATATGCATGCATCGGTCGTGTTTGCACTGGCTAAGTGCCTGACGGACCTGCGCGATAGCTGGCGGCCATTGAAGCTCTGGAAGCTCGCGAAGGCCAGAGTGCCACGCATCGTGTGGCGTCTGCTGACCCGGTGTCGCTCCGTCTGCCCCGGCTGCTGGACGAGCGCCTGCGAGCGACTGAAGTCGATCAGCAGAGCACGAAACGGGCTCTGACACCCGACACAGGGGGAGAAAGGCGTGCATGCATCAAGCATGCATCAAGCATGCATCGGTTTCCTTCATCTCTGTCAAAACACACCTACCCTGTGCGGGAACATGATGTTCCCCCAGTTGTGGTCCAGGTGCAGCACCTCGGCGGCGTGGAGCTCCTCGAGGTCAGTTACCTGCATTGCATGCAATCAGATAGATGGGTGGACCTGATCAATATACTCGTGCATGCAATCGTACCACATCGATGGCCGTCTGCAAGATGGCTGTCTGCAAGATGGCCGTGAGGGGTGTGGGCAGGCCAGTCTTGCCGCTGTATCCCTGCGTCACCGTCAGGAGGTCGCACTGCAGCTTCTCGAAGAGCGGCAGTGGCCTCTCTCGCCCTCCGCGCACCATCACGCTAGCCACCCCTATCAGCCGTGGCACTGGCAGCACCGCTCCCCTCTCCTTGGACCCCTCCCACACTGCCCTCACCCTTTTGGCCTCCAGGACGATTTCCGCGTCTTTCGCCTCGTGGAGGGCCATCTTGCCGACGGCTTTTGCTGCGGGGCGGGCCACATTGGCCAGAAGAGTGCAGCTGCCGTCGGCGCCGCTCCTCAGGGTCTTTTCTGGCCGGTAGGCCGTCATCATCCTGTCTCCCCCTGGCCGTGTGGTCTGCAGCGTCACCCTGCTGCAGAGGTAGGGGTACGGCACGGAAGGCGGCGGTTCTGGCGAGCCGTCTGGTGGCGGCGGGCTCTGCATGGCTGGATGGGGGGTGGACACACTTGTTCGAAAGCGCTCTCTCAGATGTGGCGAGAACGGCGCTTGGAAGGCTCAATATTGAGGCGGAGGACTTTTGCGAGATCAAGCTAGGGGCGGTATAGGGTGCCGCAATTGGGATTTGAGACAATCTGAGGACAGAGGGGCCCCCGCGGATACACAGGCTGATTGGTCGACCTGCACCAGGCCAGTCCTCTGGACAATCCATTTATAATATGTTACGCAATGTGAGAGTCAGTGTTCCGGTCAAATTGACTGGTCTTCGAGCTTCAGCCATCCCTTGCCTTGTGAGATAGAGACAAACGGGCACTCTTTGTCTTCTGTCATGTGCGGAGCGTGTGATACGATGAAGATACCGAACGACACCGACCTGGCAGGTTATGTGTCAAAAGCACTCATGCAGACACTGTCCACACAGAACGCGTACTGTACGTGCAATCTGCATGCTTGCGGCAAGAAAGGCGGGCGGAAGGAAACAGAAGCAAAGTCTTAGAGACACATGTCGGCAAGAGAGCCCGATTCCTTAGCTTATGCTGCCCCTGCGACCACCACGGCTAGCTGAGCTAGAGTTGCTGCTCTCGTTCTCCATGTCACCCCACACCGGCACCGTCTCATGGAAAGTTCGGTGTTGGGGCAGCAGGCCGGGCTTGCGTCTGGTTATTGGGATGAGCGACCGCTCCGGCGGTGAATCAGACTCGACCCGAAATACAGCCGATTTGGCTCGTGTCAGCCTCGATTTGGTGAGTGTGCTTGTCAGCGTTGCCGTGACATTCGTGGCCAGCGTGGAGATGAATTTGGTTGGCTCGAATGGCGAGGAGGCCGGCAAAGGCCCCAACAGCGACGCAGGTAGCTGCCCGCTTCTCGTGTCCCGCTTGGGGTTGGTTGCGGGGACGTCGTACTGATAGACAAGAGAGGCGCGTCTGCTGTTTTCATCGTCAGCTGTTCCTGTCTCCTCCTTTGCTGCTGTTGAGTCAACAGCCGATGCGAAGAGCTCGTTTGCGGGGTTCGCGCCGCCGATAGACGACGGCCGCCTTCCGATCCGCTGGGCACCGAGAACGCTGGTCATCAACCGGTCCGGCTTCTCGAAGCGAGCAAATGATGACGGCAAGTGCTCTCTGTCCGCCGCTATGCTGGACGATCCGGTCGAGTCAGATCGGTCCTTGTGGATGGACCAGCGCTTGAAGCGGCTGCTCAACTCGTCAAAGATGTACCTCTGATTGATTGATCATCCAGTTGGAATGTGTTGAGGGACAGCTGGGGGTCTCTTACAAGCACCTGTGCATGCGTGAGCTCTTCAAAGGTGATGTCCTTGAGAGAAGCCGTCACCTCCCGCAGCACCTCATCATCTGACACACGAATGGGCAACAGACATTCGGTCAACCTCTTTCCCTCCATCTTCATTTGACAGACCTGCTTCGTCTTTGCCAACGCCCGCGTCCTCCTGCAGGAGGTCCAGCTTCTCCTGCACAATTCCCCTACATGTCGGAGAACCCATCCCGCCCTGCAGCTCGCTCATCTGACATCCGACATCCAAGGTTCCCTCAAACGCCTGTGTGCGACACGACAAATGCATGTCTCATCATCGTGCGTGAGCGTGTCATGTCTCTGCTTACCGCGTCTGACATGAGGATCTCCTCGAGAGGCATCATGTCTGCGTGGTGATCTTTGACAGCATAGTCCAGCATCAAGAATATGCCCCGCATTTCGTTGAGCGTGACTGTCAAGTGCTCCTCGTCCCTCGGGTCGCTTCTCGACAGGTACGCCTTGATGTCCTCGCCGAGGTCCTCACCCATCGCCTCATCCAAGGCAGCACCGTGCTCCTGAAAGACACATGTGCGTGGAGACATGAAGCTGATTTTCGTGTGCATCCGTGTGTGTGACAAGCTACGTCCAGTTCCTCTTCTGCCGTATCCCAAATCCCGTGAGACGACTTTCGCCCACTCCTGGAGATAAGTAACACAGGCACGGACAAAAATATGTCGTTGCGTAGAGAAGCTCTGTTCACTTCTACCCACCCTCTTCTGGCTGCTGGCGCAGGTTTCCCGCCTTTATCATCCTTTTGTCGCCCCTCGTCGACCGCAATGCTTATCCTCTTCTTGGGTGAATGGTCCTTATCGTCAGCGTCGCTGTCCAGGTGGTCATCCGATGAATGGATCTTGACAGAGGGCCTCTTGTGGGTCTTGATGTCACTCCTTGTCCGTCTGAACATATGCTGCTGCTCGTGAAGCGGCCCTCGTCTCTCAAGACTCAGCTTTCGCAGCTGCTTCTCAATCTCGGACATCATCTGCACACGAGTGCGTGTGTACTGACTGATGTGTGGGGAAGGGGGACACGGGTCTTGTCTTGGCATCTTGCCTCTATTCTGCGTTTGTGGACTTTCTTTTTCTGGGTGTCCACTCTTAGGTTGTGAAGGGCCCGCTCGAGGCAGGTACGCTATTCGATTGACGAAGACACATACAGGCAGATAGGTGCGCACTTAGAAAAGAAGGGGTGTACCTACCTTCAGAGCAGGGAAGCTGGCACTGATCCTCTTGAACGCTTCTTTAGGCAACACACGGACGTCACAGAAGGTCTCACTCACCACTGTGAAGGTTCTGCGAGCCGCATGCAACACGAAGGATATGTGCATGCCATCGCTGCATATCTGTGGCCAGGTGACCTTTCTTTGAGTATGTCGAGCATCATGAACTCCCCGAACACAGCGTGCTTGCCCAAATGTCCCACTAATTCCCTGTTCGCTCCAAGCATTTTTGCCCGCCCTGCATCCCATACAGAGTAACACCGGAAGACACACAATGACGGTGTCTCCGTCTCACCGTCAGCAATCACAAAGAGCGACTGGTTGGTGGTGTCTCCTTTGCGGACGATGACCTCGTCGGGCCCATAGAAGGTCATCTGGAAGGCCAACACGAGCTTAGCGGCGCACACACGAGGGATGCCCTGTATCCATGAAGTGCAAGAACAGGCGACCAGATCCCCTCCGATCTGCCGTGTGCGTGTCGGCTTGCTCGCCTTGAGCACATCAATGTTGTCGACTATGTGTCTGTTGATGAAAAGGATGACCTCCCGCATCAACACAGGCGGCAGCTCTGACCGACGACATGAAGTGGTTGTGTTACAGGGATGTCGCATGCATACGATGCGTGCAGACGTCGATTAAACCTACCAGCCAGGATCCGGCTCTGCGTCTCCACCGCTGCGCCGCTGATGAGAGAGAGGGCGACGCGCACACTGCTTTCTGTGTGTCTCTTTGTTACCTACCCCTTTTTCATTTTGTTTTGGAGGTGAAATAGCTGACGCATTCGGGCAGCAAGGGGACCAGGGATGGCTGAAAGAGATCAATAGACACCGGGTAGCCTTGTCTTGTCCTGATGTGTGTGCGTGTGTGTCTTGTTGCTTCCTCACTCTTGCTCTGACAGAGTTCGTACAGCAGATCCATCTTATGTCGGAAGTTTTTCTGCGCCTCGTACATCTCCTTGTAGAAGTTGATCGACGACGTGATCCCGTAACTGCGCATAAAGGACACATACACCGACCAGAAATTTCGTGTGTGCGTGTGTCTCATGCATCATCGGCCCACGCGAATATGCATGAGCCGATGATCATCCCCCATATGGCAAAGTGCCGCTCCTGGGGGGTGGTCAGCAGCGGGGAGCCATAACCGACAGACGACATGCTGAGCGTCGTGTTGATCGAGACACAGAAGAGGCACAGAGACACGTACATTTGAAATGCAAATGTCTCCTTCTTTTTTGTCTGCTTTCGTGATTACGGACGTCTGCAGCGTCCACACAAGAGCCAGCAGGTACTGCTTGGCATGTGCCTTGCCTTCCACCTCATTGACAGCCAGCCACTCCCTGCCGTCATCCTGAATCACGCTCACACACATCATGAAGAAACAGGGAGACATCTCGTGCCGGCTGAGTCTCTGACCCTCATTCGGTGCCCCATGATGAGGAGCACACAAGACAGCCAGTGGACAGAAAGGAGAATGAGGCCCACGAACTTGATCAGCTCCAGCTCACTGATCCTCAGAAACAGCCCGTTCTTCCACTGACGCAAGATGCGGCCCTGCACACACAAGCAGCAGTCCGTTGCTTTGCATGCACGTGTCTGGCTGGGTATGTGTGTGAGATACCATTCGGAGCAGCCGGAGGAACTTGATGATTCGGAACGTGTCGATAAATATGGTGAAGGGAATAGCAAAGACAAGAACCTCGTAAGGCAAGGCGAGGGCCTGGCCGACACACAACAGAGCAAAATCTGCCTTCATGATCACCTTGCTGCCCCGCCTCATCACGCACCAGGTCAGGGAAGAACCACGAGGAGCGATACAGTCTGCCGATATACGCAAGATCTGTCACCATGTGGCCCTCCATCTCTACGGCCGTCCGCAGCTGCACCGCCACGTCAGCCAAGAACAACGCATCCAGCACACGCTCCACCTGACAATCACACATCACAGACACACACACAAGTGGCATGTTTGCCTGTGGGGCTGTCTCTTCCCTTGCTGACTCACCCAGAACCATCCGCCTTCGTCCTTGATGTGGTATCGCTTGGTGTCTGGTTGGAATGCGAGGGCGATGGGGATCCCGAAGGCCAGCATACAGATAGCCCCCAGCATCACAAACGACCAACCGATGCTCCATGCACCATATGGTAGCTGAATGCATCATTAAAGGAAGCAAGGAAGATTAAGATAAGGAAAAGCCCCCCTTCCTTTGGCTGACAGGCTTACCAGCACATACTCGCCATCATTGTCCTCCCCATAAACGGAGGTATACGAAGGCGCAGATCTGACAGCCTTGAGTTGCGACGAGAGGTATCGTGTCATGTACATGGACTTTCGCTGCAGCCTGTCGAGGCGACACAACGCCCACACCCGTCTCCCGAACGCCCGAAGGGCTGCGGCCAGGGGGGACTCGGGGGGCTCCGACGACGAAGTCTCCTCTGACCGAGGAATGTCGCTGTCCTCATTCAACGTCTGCGGTGGCTTGATAATCGACTTCATTGTCGAGAAGGGGAACCCGTTCACACACGACGGGGATCAGGTCACGGTAGGATGGTTTGCAAGACGGAGACGGATAAGAAACCCCCAGCAGACCCCCATCACCGATCGTAAACTTCACCCCCGTCCATCTACGACGTTGGACTGAGAATCTCGCTGAGGGTAACCACTAGAGTCGCTCGTCCCGAATGTGGCCACTGGTGTTGCTCTTGATCCACTGGCTGCACGGCGACCGGCTGCTCATCCATGGACGGCCTCCCTTCCTGCAGTGCCACGCACACGCCCTTGGCAGGCACGGACAAAGAGCCGACTACACGAGCACCTTTCTGTCCTTCTTCCGACCGCTGAAGAAGGCCACTCGGAGGCGGCGAGTCAGGAGCCCGGGCGGGACTGCGAGTGAAGAGATGAGCAACTCGGCTGCGCCAAAAGACCGGAAGACCGCTGCAGTGCAAAAACTTTATGAGGACTTGTTACACGAGTTGCAGCTCATCCAACAGAGGAATGAGACAAACCAGCCGACCGAGGCACCGAGGGCGTCGCAGCCCCCCACTGGGACAGGCAGCAAGGACGAGGCCAACCCTGCCACTGTCACTCCCGCGGAGGCTAACAAGGAACACGAGTCGGCCCAAGAAGTCCCTCCGGACCTTGTTTGGCGACGATACGCGAACGACAAGGGTACAGGGATGCATGTGTGTCTTGTGATTGTATGCCGGACATCCTTGAGGCTCTCTCTTGTGTCTGCGTGTCTGCCTGCCTGCCCATCCAGCCGCTGCATGGAGCGCTGCAGTGACGGCTCTCGACATCAAAGCAATGGAGGAGCTGCTGCGATTGGGATTGCCATCTAAGGAAGTCGACCCCAATCAGCCCTTCTCATCAGCTCCCCCCGTACTGCCTCTCTCGTTTGCTATCCTCCGCAACGACCTAGACGCTGTGCGACTGCTGCATGAGGGAGGAGCTGACCCCAATGCTCCATCACCATACTGTGGTGTGGCGTCAGAGAAGGACGAGAGACTTGTGGTATCCCGCGGACCGATCGACACCCTCTTCCTCACCTTCACGCACGGCACCGCCGTTGAAGGCCATGGAATGAGTGCATTAAACTACGAGTTCTTTTACAAGGCGTGGGACATCCTTACTGACCGGCAGCACGAAGGCAACGTCAAGCCGTCCCGTTTCGGTGTGCAGCGCCTCTTCATCAATTCCAATATCGAGGACCCGTGCTTCAAGCGGCCCAGGCTTTTTGACATCATTTTCCGCTCGCCCAAAGACGGAACAATCAATCTGCTGCAGCCGCTTGAGGAAGGTCCTGAAACTATAAACTGGACGAAGACCGACGCCGCCGGCAACACCGTCTTGCACATAGCTGCGGCAGGCGGCACAGCTGCTCTGATCCGCCATCTTCTCAAAAGGCCTGAGGTGACGCCTTTGCTACGCCAGCGGGACAAATGCGGGAGGACGCCGCTCACGAGCGCTGTGTGCGGTCTGACCATCGCACCGACACGGATCGGTGGTTAGTTCAAAAAGAGGATCGACGCGGCCTCTTTCATGCAGCGAGATGAAGAAAAATGGTCCTCATCTGTGGGAAGCTCCTCTCGCACGTCTCCATTCGAGTCGGCCGCGGAAGAGTACGGCTATATCGCAGCGCGCATCGAGTATGACGAGGAATACATGGACAGACTCCACGTGCTCGTCAGGGACGCGGGGCTCGCCACCAATCAGCCGATACAAAGAGAGAGAGAGGGGAATGAAAGACGACGTAAGGAAGGCTGCACTGCTGTCTTGTCTCTGCGCGTGATGACCCTTGGCTTGTGTGTGTGAATGCGTGCATGTAGTTGTCGGAAGAAGACGCGTGTGGCGGGCTGTACCCCTTGCACTGCCTTACGATGCAGCACTTCCAGCATCGAGGAGACCTCACAAAGCGAGTCGCGGAATTACTGGTGGAAAACTGTAGGCAGGCTACTACTTCATCAATGGCACTGAGGCAGACAGGGAGCGAGCCGAGAGAGAGAGAGAGAGGGAGGGAGGGAGGGAGACACCCACGCTTTCATGTCCCAGCATCTGCTGTCTCTTTGTGTGTGTATGTGTATGTGTATGTGTGTGCGTGCAGACGCCGGTAAGAATGCCTATGAGATGAAGACACGCGTCAACTCTGTTGACAACACGGGCAGAACACCACTGTACGTAACAACAGTATGTGTGTATTAGACCAACCCATGTGGGCGTTTCGATGTGTGCAGGCATGTTCTGGTGGCCGATTACCCCCGGGACCCGAAGAAGGGTTTGAACACAATCCGCCACCTCCTCAATCGAGGCGCCGACCCAAGCTTAGGCATCAAAAAGAGAAGGGCCATGAGCGAATATGAGGGCACGGTGCTCGACGACCTGCCGGGCATCGGCGTTCCACGCAAGTTTGGGGACGCGTCGGAAAGGCTGATGACCCTCAAAAGCATGCAGATGGAGCAGCAGAAGCAACATATTAGGTCGTTCACGCAGATGAAGACGACTGAGGGTCAGTCGCTAATCTGATTCTCCGCCGCACACAAGAAGCACATGAATGGATTTTTATTGTTCTGGCGTCAGAATTGACAGCCAGCAGTCATTCTCTCGGCGGAGGATCAGTTATGGATCCGTGCAGCCCCACCCCAGCGCATGAAATTCCCGGTGTCTACTATGTGATAGACCATTTGAAGGTGCGGCCATGTCAGGAGGGCTGGACAGCAGTGCATCTCGCATGCTGGCACGGGTCAGCGAGACACGGAGGAACACCTGCTCGTCATTTATTGAGCTGCCTGAAATGGTGGGTGCAGGTCGTCCAATGTGATTAGTCTGCTGATGGATGGTGCGTACAAGGCTGACCCCAACGCACGCACGGCAGAATACAGCAGGACGCCATTGCACATATTCCTGGCAAACGAAGACACGGCGGTGAGCGAAAGACCCACTCTGCATCTCCCCGCGCCATGTGATCTGGTGTGCAGTCGGTGAACTTGAGGACCACTGTGTTCCAGCTGACGGAGAGAGGGGCCGATATCAATGCGGTGGACGGCAACGGCTTCACTCCCATATTCTATTTTCTGGCGTCCCTGACGTCCTACCATGACCAGCCATGGATTCTGAACATCAAGCGTCGGAAGCAGCTGCAGCATGACACGCAGTTGTTGATCAAACTCACGGCCAGGACGGACGTACAGGTGTGTGGTTGAGTTTCTCGGGCGATATAGCAGGCAGGCAGGCAGTCCGTGTGTATGCGGTGTGCGTGTTGTTTGGTTGTTTGTGTAGGCACATGATGGGTCGACCCCAGCGATGCACGCGTACTTGACGTTCATCCCTCAGGTGATCAAGGAGGTGGTGGCTCACTATCCTAACATGACACTCGTACAATGCCACTCATGTGAGAGTGTACGCGCCAGGTCAGGGAATGCGTCAGCCAGACATCCACATACAGCTGCCGGCCAATGAGCATTGACGTGTCTGTCTGTCTGTCTGTCTCACCATCAGGTCCGTCTTTTGGCGTGGCATAATTGGCTTCGCCAATGAATCGACCATCCTGCACATGTTCAGCATCGAGCCGCGCCTCCAAGTAAGACTGACACATGTGAATAACCACATCACTCATGTCCTTGCGTGGGACCATGCTCGTCCAGGTACATTGGACGCCTGATACCTTCACACATCTTGAGGCCATGGAGGCCGTCTGCAGACATGGAAAGCTGGACAGCAAGCTGATAATCAACAATCAGCGAGAGAAACAGGCTCAAGGATCATGTCTCTTCTCGTGCAGGCTTTCTACTCATTTGATGGCGCTGGGCAGACGCCCCTTTTCCGCGCCGCGCGAAGTCTCTCGCCGCACGCTGTCGCGGTAGGTGAGGCAGGCACCAGTCGACAGTCCAACAGACAGATGTTTGTCTGTCTCTCTTTCACTCGATTGATCAACAGAAGCTGTTGGAGTACGTGCCGCGAGATCACCCACAGTCGTTAGTTGGCTACATCCCGCCGCCAGACAAAGCCCCAGGACAGGAGCTGATTAAGTACCTTTCCTTTCTCTGGAAAATGCTACCCTTCCACGTTCCAAATCTGCCATCATCGGCCTTCATCGATAGCTTAGGCAGCCCGCAATGGAGTTACTTCTCGCTTCTCCTGCCAGTGGCCTTACGCGAGTATGATAAGGGAATGGACAGCGCAGTGCTGTCGGACGAGGACCGTGAGGCGCTGGGCCGTCGTCTGACGACAGTCTTCCGCCGGTTATTCGAGGAGGCAGGTACGTTGCACGCTCACGCATGGATGGATAGAGTGTATGCATTCTTGTATCTGTGTCTCCAGCGATCCCCGATCTGGACACGTTCCGCAGAGTACAGCACATGGGACATGTGCGCACCTACGCGCAGCTTGCCAGATATGTGTCTCTCTTCGACAAGGGCCAGGGGGGAGAGCCTGACGATCCGCAGGCCGCCAACTGGCCCCTGGAGTGGCAGGCGGGCCTGGATGTCACAAACAAGTCGCTGATCGAAGAGCACGAGAACGGGACGAAATTCTGGCGGTGGGGCGAGCATCGCCTTCCTGTCGAGCCCTGGTCATGGACCCTCTCCTTCGTCGAGATGGAGCTGGCGCCAAGAGAGGAGGTCGAGGCCGACCCTGCCATATGCTCGGACATAAACAACGCCAATCGGGCACGCAAAGTGTGCGTAGGCAAAATGGATGCATTCATATGAAATCCCGCCTCTTGTTTTTCAGCTATTGCAGCATCGGCAAGGCATTCGAGGCAATCGAGGCTGACAGGAACCAGCGCGCGGCACTCTTTCTGCGGTGACTCAACCATGCAAACACACACGCCAATTCTCTGAGTCACAATGCGGTCCCTCTTTGCAGGCCTCCTGTGCAAGAAAGCGCCCAAGAGGCACATTACGAGGTCTGTCGATGACAAAAACATGACATCCTCGAAAATGAGACATGTGTGCTTAATCCCTCTCTGCAGCTGTGCAGCGACATGAAAGTGAACGTCTCTGAGCTGCTGCAAGACCTCGGTGAGACGCCGATGCCCTTCACAGAGTCACAACTCGAGTATGTCTACGTCCACATCCGACCATCGCCACATGACACGACAGCAGATAAGCAAGCTCACCCTTGGCGCGCCATTCTCACGTGTGAGGCAGTCTCTTATGAGAAGGAGACAGCCAGGATGATGGAGCTCTTCGAGCACCTTCGGAAACTGGCCAAGGTCGATCCAACCTCACTCACCTCATGTGGCGGGGAGCTATCAGCCAAGAGAGACCACAACGTCGGGTGTCTGGACACGAGCTATAACTTCCACTTCTCGGCACTGCAGTTCTTCGGCAGCTATCTCATCCTGACTGACGTGACGATCCGTGGCGCGCCTTGGTTCGGTTTGTATATGCGGGATGGGCACGTCATCGCCCGCCACGTGCGATTCGAATCAAACGGCCGGGCTTTGCAGCACTACCACGAAGGCAAGAGGAAGGACCTCAGCCTCAAACCTCCGTTATTGGGCTCATCTGCGCACCGACATGAGGATGAGACCGGAGACGAGGAACAAGAGGGCATGTCGGAGATGAGCAATCTCTTTAAGCTTCGCTTCAAGGCCAGGAAGGCACGCAAGCACACCGATCTACTCATCCTCTCAGGGACAACACATTGACCCTCGCGATTGTTGCTTGACAGGGCAGCGCCGTGATGATCCGCGCCAACCTGTTCTCCCTGGGTCAAGGCAGGAAGCACGACAGCGGCCACAGACACATATTCGACAACTCTGTGTTTGAGGACAATCTCGGAGAGAATGGAGCGGCCATCCAAGTGACGTATGACCCCTTCTGCCATTCAAGGGACACCACAACGTCGATCCGCGAGTGTGTGTTCCGCAACAACACTGCCAACACGGGCGGGGCGATATATGAAAGGCACTGGGGCGGCAGCGGAGGCCCATCGACCAACGTGCTCCACATCGAGAGCTCGACATTCGGACAGAACTTGGTAAGCGTATGTGACATTTGCAGCGTGAAAGGGTTTGCGTGTTGGGATATGTCCACATGAAGGCTCAGGAGGAGGGCGGGGCAGTCTTCTAGGCACAGCAAGTTGCTACCGAGCCCATACAGATCCGAATCGGAAACACCACCTTCACGTGAGAAAGGACGCAAAGCTGCCCTCGCTGCTCACGCTTCTTCTGTCTCTCGCTTGGGTGCAGTCAGAACATTGCCTTCACACGAGGCGGTGCCGTCTTCATTGCCCAAGGAGAGGTGGATGCAAGCAATACGGTCTTTTCGGAGAATGCGGTGCTTGGAGAGGACGACGACGGCTACGGCGGGGGAGTTTATGCTATTAGCAGTGCGCGGACCAGCCGATTCTCTTTGCAAAACACTGAGATGGTGGACAACTATGCCAAATGGGGGGACCATATCGATTTTACCTTCCCAGGCATGACACGCGCTCGTGCCCTCTATTAATGCGTCACTGGCTGTGTATGGTCTGTGTGTATGGGCGCGAGACGTGTGGAGCTGGCAAACACGTCAATGCGGGCGACACGAAATGGCCTCTTTCGATTCCAATCCCGCAATCGCGTACCCCTCGTGATATCCGTAAGCTGGTCGACTCGGCATGGCATCCCGCCTGGCAGTTTCGATCGAGCAAGCATGTTTCTGCTTTATCTGTGTCAGGATAACAACATCTCGGAGTCGACATTCATCGCTCCTCCCAGCATGACTGTGCAGTGCAAGCCCGGCGAGCAGCTGGTAATGCAGGGAGACCCATACAGCCTTAAGATGCTCGTCAGGGTACATGAAGAAGAATCGTGGACACGGCAGCTGTCATGCTTTGCCGGTGTCTCGATCGTTGATGGTCAGTGCAAGACGTGCAAGCCGCCATCGTATTCGCTTCGTGCGGGGACGCTCCACGGCGGCCCCACCATGCCATACACATTCACGGAGGGAATCGGTAACAAAGGGAAAAGAGCACATCTGGTCTCATCTCGGATGTAGCCCTTCCCTTTGAGATGCGTCCATCCAGAGGGCGAGCACCCGTGTGTGGCGCACTGCCCGAATGGCGTCGACTGCGACCAGGGCTGGGGTGATGTGTTCAGCCGCCCGGGTACGCTTGAGACACACCATGAGCATTTTGCACCCGACGGGCATATCTGACATTGATGTTCGTCAGGCTACTGGTGTCAGAGCTATGGGCCGTCAAGCGACATCGCGTGCTACGGTGCAAGAGAGAAAATTGCAACGACTACAACAGCCAGCTGTGCCACGACCCGTCTCTCTACCACACGAAGCGCTGGCGGCAGTACCTTGAAGAAAGGAAAATGGGACTCGCGCCGCCCATGATTGCCACGAGCGAACAGCAAGGAGGGAAGAAAAGTGAAGCCATAGTCACGTACGGCCACTCTGGCGAGCTGCGCCCATGTGGCGGCTTGATTGAGGCCGGCCATGCGTCACCATGCCCCGGTCAGCCCATATAGGAGACATGATAGACAGTGAATTGACTGCAGCCAGCTGGATGGCATGCTGGCTTGCAGGCGACACGAGCGGCCCCCTGTGCGCGGCCTGCAATGGACACAGCAGATTCAGGCTCTCACTCGGTCATGTCCTCCCTCTTATTATGCATGCATCAAGGGCACACATATACATGTGACTGACAGCTTTCGTTGTGTGTGTGCAGGTGGCTTCGAGTGCAGTCGTGAGTGCGCGAGGGAGCTGACGGCCTCTGACTGGCTCAAGTGGATGGCCATACCGCTATTTTGCCTTGTCTTCGATGCATCTATCCTTCTGGGGGGCGGTCAAGGCTATGGATTGTGGAAATCTCTTCTTTATTACGAGAACATATTGGCGATCCTGGATGTGTCGTCGCTCACAGAGTCCGGCATGCAGGCGCTGGTGAGTAACAAACAGCCCACCAACCAACCTACCTACCTCACCCACCCCCCCGTCACGTCTCTCTCTTTGTGTATGTGCTGTTTAGGCATTCTTTTCCCTCTTCTGCTGGACTACGACGCACTGAGTGTCCACTTTGAGAGCAGTGGGTCATCCTTTGTCACGGATGCCCTGTCGTTGTGTACGTGGCCGTCCTTCACTGACTACACTAAGATGTCTTTCCCGCTCGTCAAGTGGCTGGTGATTTTTGTCATCCCTCTCATGATCGCATTTCATCTCTGCTTTGCCCTGGTGCGCATCTACGCGTCGGAGATCCCCCAACGACCGGCCAGCGAGGACCACCACCAGGCAGCGAGAAGGTGCCTCGCCCACTTTCTGTCAATGGAGCCGCCACCGCCGGCATCCTGGGACAAGACCAACGACGCCATATTTAAGATGATGCGGCGCTATATTGATCTCTTTACCTACCTGCTCGTCCACATGGTCAACCCCGCCTGTGTGGTGGTGGTTTCGCAGATGCTTCACTGTGTCGCCATCAAAAGCAGCGATGGCAGCGTTGCCCGGCGTTACTTCTATGCGGGGTCTCACACGTGCGCCCCTGAGGGGTTGATTTTTGTGGTGCTTGGAATCCCTGTGTCGATTCTTGCGGTCATGTTCTTGCTGATTGTGTTCCCCTTTGCGCTGTGCCTGCACCTGTTCTTCACGCCGCGGCTGCCAATCCTTGAGGACTCATTTAGGTCACTCGAGCTCTCATATAAAGAAGAATACAGATGGTCAGACGACAATCTTGAAGGAGACACAGAGACTGACGGACTGAGCCATACGTTTGTTTGCTGATGGTATGGTGTGCGGCAGGTGGGATGTCACGCTGGTGTTTCGCCGCCTGTTTCTGCTGAGTGGGGCTGTCCTGATTATCGACCCATTGGTGCGTGCCCGCTTCCTGTTCGCCGGCTGCCTGGTGGTGCTGCTGGTCCACCTCTTGGTCAGGCCGTTCCGTTATTGGTTCGACGACGCGATGGAGTCGATAACATTGGCGAATCTGGTGATTGTGAGTGGCGGGTCGGCGTGTGTGCTGTCGGCCTGGCACGAGGCGGATGTCGACGTCGACGCTGAGGGCAAGATCTATGGGGTGAATCCTAGCCCATCGGTGAGTGAGGTCAGCCAGTCTGTCTGTCTGTCGGTCTGTCTGTCTGTCTGTCTGGGAGACAGACACACTCACGAGTCACGGCAAGAGCCTGCCTTTCGTTGTGTGTGTGTGTGTGTATTCGCCTCTGTGTATCAGTGGAGTCAGTTTCTCGGCTTCCTGTTGCTGCTGCCCATCATACCCTGGTGTGGCTATGCCTGTAAGCCCACACAGACACACACACACACACAGACAGGCGGGGATTTGATTCACTCACCGTATCTGATGTGGTCGTTGGTTCGTGTGGTGTGCAGGGATGAATGTGGAGGTCTTCCTTCAACGAGTGGCCAAGCTGTTGGGTCTCGGTAAATCACAAGACGCCGGCGGCCGTCCAGTTACCAGCCCCTCCCCGGCCCCCTCTTCACAAGGCTCGCTCAGCCACATCCACAGCAGCATACTCGAGAGCCTCTCTCATCCACGCAGACGGACCGATGCGGCCCAGCACATGGCTATAGAGCCACTTCTGCCCCCACCAGCACCATCACCACCGGCGGCAGCGGCGGCACCACCCGACAGTGGCGATGACGATATGAGGCGGTGGCGGGCCAGGCGGCTCTCACGGACAGGGAGGGAAGATGATGTCAGTGCAGGACAGTCTAGGAGGGGCAGCAGAAGCAGTCCCCTGCCCCCCGACCATGACGCACCACCGGACAGCCGCGCTGGAGAAGACAGACAGGGTGGATGAGGGAGGGAGGGAGGGTCAGCCGCTGCTGTCCGTGTTGGTGGGGCCTTGGGTGGCCTGGTGGTGATAAGCAGAGGAGAGACAGGCAGGGAGCAGTCACAGACACGCGATGACACGTCACGAGAGAGGGAGAGGGACTGTTGGTTAGCTGGATGGGTGGGAAGAGGTCAGGCCCTCCCTGTGTGTTATTTATATGTGTGTGAGTGACGACACACGTGTGTCCATCGATTGTGATCTGTGTCATTTGGTCAGTCAGTCAGCAGGACATGTAGGTAGGTACGTAGGCCGATAGATGTGGACGGACGTCAATGAGTGAGTGAGTGTAATTAAAGGTCTTTGTCTTTTACGGTTAGGACGGAGGGGCAAAAGCATTGAAGGCGTCCGTCCACGAGTACTTACTGATGAGTGTCCATCGACCCACCACACGACAGACACGCCTGAACCCCACAAAAGAAACATCAACACCCGTGTGCTCTGCTGTATGTATGTGAATTTCGCGCGTATGTGTCACATTCACTGTGCAAAGGGAGGGAGCAGAGCACCAACAAAACGCAAAAAGACGCCCCTAATCGTACCTACCGTATGAACCACACGACCACACACATGACACACATGACTGACACACATGGTCCTTACTACAAGGGTCTCTGCCTAGCTGCATTTGAAGTGCGACAGACAGACACCTTGCGATCCGATCCACAAGCTGGTCAGTCAGTCAGTCAGCACCCATACAGTCAGTACACCTCACAACTAACGCTCACGCATAGCATGCTCTCACTCCCAACCAAAAGAAAGGGCCAGGCACATACACACAAGGAAAATGCCCTTCCACTCACATCACTCACAGTCATTCCCCGCTGTTGCCGCCCTCCTGCACGTATTCCGCGCAGGGGAAAGTGGCCCATCCCCGACATAACTTTACAAAATACCTGCATGGCCTGCCGGCGTCAGTCGATCAGCACGACATGAAAGGAAACTGAAACGCACACCGCGCTTCAAAGAAAAGGAAGACAGACAACGCCCATTGATCGATCCTTCCAAAATGCCAGCCATCCATCCATCCATCCATCCTTCAGATATTGCAGGGGTCTACGACGACTCCCTTCTCCGCGAGCGCCTCGACGACGAGAGCGATGAGGGCTTGCAGGCGGAGCAGAATCTCCTTGAGCTGGTCCGCCGACAGGAACTTCAGGAACAGGGACGTCCCGCTGCCATCCGTCGGTGGCGGGCCCTGCTGCGGAACGCCGCCGTGATGACGCATTTTGTGGTGGCCGTGATGGGGATGATGTCCGCCAAACAAACTGCGCCGGACAAGGACACGCTTGAAAAGCTCCTCGAGGGCGTCTGTCGTGAGATGACAAACAAGCGAGGTCAGATGCGTTGTGTTCTCCACATGGTGTGTGTGCCTACTTACCCAGGAGCTTCAACACGAACTTGAAGAACTACAGTACACACACAGCAGAGGACGGGCGAATGGGGCAGTGTGTGGGTATGTGTGTGCGTGTGTGGGGATGAAAACGTCTACGTCTCCCTCGCCCACCAACCTCTTCTATAAGCTCCTCGACTTGAGTGTCTCCAAACTCCTGCAGGAAACGTAGGGGGTTCTGGAGCCCGGCTGTCTTCTCGCTCTCCTCCTGAGACGGGATCACACACAGCCAAGCCCCTTTCTCCCCTTCCTCCCCGTTGTGTGCCTCTCACGTTCGGGTCGGCGAGGGCAATGGGGAGCAGCACGAACGCCAGAAGGCCACACACAGCGGCGCAACGAGCCATGCCGACTTCTGCACCAACACACGTTTCTCCTATAACGGGGCTCAACGGGCTCAGAAATAGTGGGCAATCACACAGTTTTTGACAAAGCTCGCAGCAGCAAGACAGTACACGATTCCAAGCCGGCCGGACGCCAAGGCACGCGGCAACGCGGCCTTTCAGAGCCAGGACTACATGTGCACACTGGGGCCTCCATCCGGTATGCACGTTGAATGACGCTACAAGTAAGACTGGATGTGTGTGTGTGATTGTGTTGCTCGGCCTGTCGCCCTCACTCGACCCTCTCCACTACTTCCGGCAAATAAATAAATACACACCCACCCAAGACACACAGTCGACCGACGTGTCTAGCTTCGTGTGTGTTCGTGTGTCTCATATCAGTGTGCATAATCTGGGTCAGTCCGTCAGTCTATATGCACAGTCATGCCTTTCGGGGCGTGCAGTGCTGCAGGCGTGTGTGTTTCCTGAGGTAACACGGTGACGATATAGACCACTGATGGCCATTGGCTTGAACCAGTTTTGAATTCTATCTCACGGGCCCCGACACGACGACCACCGTGTGAGCCACACAACGACAGAGAGAGAGACAGACACATGACTGACTTAAGAGGAAGGAGAGACGGATAGAGGGCTGACTTGATGGATGGATGGATGCAGTAATTGCAATAAAATGATAACCTGACTTGATCGTCTTTCCAATCGCATCCAGTCTTACTTGTGGCGTCATTCAACGTGCATAGCGGATGGAGGCCAGATTGCCGTAATTCAGCTGAGCTGGGAAAATGAATGACCGTCGAAAACGGACCGTCTCGCACACCCAGTCGTTCCTCTCTTCTTCTCTCTTGCTGCCTTTATGTACACATACATGGGGAACGTCATGGGGAAGCCGGCTGTCTTATTTGGTGCTCTTTCTCGCTCTTTGCTCGTCAATGACTCGGCCGCAGCTGCGGTGAAGTCTAATTGTGTTGGTGATGCCAAAAAGGGTCCGGCTCGCCTGACGATCGCTACAATGCAGTACTTGGCTAAGACCGATAGACTGCGAGTTAAAACAAACATTGACACGGCCAGTAACAACATGCATCGACACAGACGTACTGACGCCCAGTCGTCTCGCACCACATGAGAGAGGGTCGCTCCCTCCCCGACTCCCCACCCCTCCACCCCCCATGCACAAGACACCGATCCATGCAGGCCCGTGTATTCTGCGTGCGTCGCACTTTCTGTACATCTACAGAACAGAAACCACGAATCAATGCGCAGATGCATCGATTCAGTCACGCTTGACTGGCATGATGGCGGCCCATGCGTATGAGATGGCTGCGGGATTGTAGACCAGGCCCAATCCTGAGCGGACACGCAGAGACGCACCCACACAAACACACATAGGCACACGGAGCCTCTCTGTCTGTCTGTCTGTCTGTCTGCGAATGGGTGGTGTATTACCCCTTTTCTCAGCGAGCTCTACAGCCATCAGGTCTACACACACAACACACGCACACACACACACAATGCGACATTGTCAGACACGGTCAGACACACAGACAGATGGTGTTCTTACAAAATGATGCCACGCCGCCTTTCCAATCCGGCAGATCTTCACGTAAGAACAGCTCCGCTTTTTCCCTGCTGAAACCAGCAGAAGACAGCCTGCAGCAAGCAAGCACAGAAGCCACGAGGCACACACACATAACTAGACGCACTCTCTCGCACGCACGCAATTCATTGGCAGTCACGTAGGCTGCATCCCACCTTTCTGTCAGCAATCCTTTCTTCATGCGATTCTCGCCGTCAAGTAGTACCATAAACATGTTCTCCCCGTCAGTCACCCACTGACGGAGCTCATCATCGGACGGCGGTGGGCCTTTCTTCCCAGCCATCTGGCCCTGCCACACGGACAAACAAACTGGTTGAGAGAGGTCAGTATGCGCGCCGTTGCCTCCCTTTTCCCACTCACTGCTGCCGTCATGATCGCATCGAACCACCCGTCTTTGCCCAACGCTGGGATGGCGTGAGTGATCATGGTGAGGGGATGAAGCACCACCCGGTCAGCGGCGAGCAGACGTCTTTCTCTGGGCTTGCAGGTGATGCCATTGCCCCTGTTGGTGAAGCTGCTCGTGCACGGGTGATGACGGATGAGGAACGACAATGCTCTTGTAGTGGTTGTGCCAGTCAGGGAAGCAGATGACGCCGCTGTCGCCAGGCAGATGGCAACGACCGCATACATCATCCAAAGACGGAAAAGGGATCTAGGCGGGTGAGAACGGCTGAGCTTTCCATCCCGCTCACGCAGCTGCGCCTCGGCAGCTGTCTTGGAACTTCGTTGCTGCGCCAGTTCCGCCTTTAACGCCTCGACATCGGCTCGTGCGGTCCCCACGCGCTCCTCACTCTCTGCCAGTGCCGTGTCACCCTCCACCAGCTGCGCCTCAGGCGCATCTATCTTGGACCCCATCGCCGCGTTGCTGTCCTGCAGCTGCCTGATGGTAGCTGTCTGCTGCTCATCGCGCCAGGCCGCTTGCTGCCTCTCGAGAGCCAGCCGCTTCTCGAGATCTGCATGAGCAAGCCGCTCCTGCTGCTGCCTAATCTGTCGCTCTGTTTCGATGAGCTGGTCGGCGGTTTCCTCGTGCGTCTGCACCCGGGGAGATGATGGGTCTGACATCCGCTCGTCCCTGGCAAGGACAATCAGCCTGTGGTCGCCTGTGTGTCGAGATTGCAGCAGATCTGAGTACCGACGACGTCGTGAGCCCACGCTTGGCGTCCTGACGGCCTCAAAACCCTGCAAAGCTGGAGATCTATCCTCCAAGCTCGCACATGTGGCGATCGCTTCGCAATGGACCGCGGATGAGTTCTCGAGCCGCGCGAACGGTGCAAGTCCGACTACAGGTGAGTCCTACTCAGTGGCAGCTGCACACCAACACGACTTCTCACCGCTTCTTGATCTCCTGCCATGGTGTGTGTTGCAGAATGACATCCTCATGAAGTGAAAACATTCCGCTTCTCACACCCACCCGTAGGCAAGCTGCAGCACGCCACGCCTTGTCTGTGTGCTATGTGTCATCCGTATTGCGCGCAGGTCGTTCGTCGGCCGTTCGTCGCTGATGCCCCGGTTTCCTCTTCACCGGCTCTCGCGGCATCTCTCACCCCTTCGCCGCCTCGCCAGCAGCATCCAACTCACGGCTGACGGCCGACGCGTGTGGCATGCACTGCCCGCATCCCAGCGGCTGCCCGTCGCGCGCCACCTGCACGAGAGGCAGCAGGACGTGACATCATTTCCGCGTGAGGATCAGGTGGAGCTGTTTGCCGCCCTCGCGATGGTCAAGGTGAAGCATGCCACCGTCATGGTATTGGAGCAGCAGCTGGCGGCGCGCGAGCATGCACTGGGAGAGGCGACAAAGCGCGTGATGGATGCCGTCCAGCAAAGCAAAGAGGCGACAGGCCGGCTCAAGGCTGCCGAACAGCAGCTTACAGATCAAGAAGCGGCTATCTCAAGCACCCAGGTGCAGCTGGTGGAGTGCAACGAGGCGCTGAAAAAGAATACCAAGAGCCTGGCAGACGCTCAGGACAGCATCAAGAGCCAGAAAGAGGCAGCAGGAAAGGCTGAGGGTACCATCAAGGACAAGAATGACCGGCTGAAGGATACTCAACAGCAGCTGGCAGATCGAGAAGCCACTGTCTCCAGCCTCAAGGAGCAGCTGGCCGCCGCTCAGTCTGTTCCGCTCATTCTGAGTTGATGAATATCGGTCTGTCTGACGATGTGTGCTATACAATAGCCAGTGAGGTTTGTCGTGCGGTTTTTCGTGCACTTTTTCCCGATGTATGACAGCTGACCGTTGTATGTAATTCCTCTCGGTCCACACACAAATGCACACATCACACCTGACTATCAAGGCGATGAAATGAATGAGGTCCCTTTCAGCTGGCAGCAAGAGATTTGTCCCACCACCCACCCTCTCCCGCACACATACACACACACACCCATGCACCCAGAAATGGCTGCGATAGATACCTGACGTTGGCGCGCGGAAGAAAGAGAGCGAATTGACACGAAAAGGAATTCATGTGCTTCGATGACTAGTCAGAGAGCGGCGGGTATATACACGCACACAGCTCCCCCATTGCCATATGAGCGATATATACACACATGTCCCTCCGATGCCTGCCTCGCCCCCCGCCCGTGTCGCCACTGCCGACTTTGTGAGTGCGTGTATTGTGTTTGCTGCTGGAGCCAAGAGAGTGGTAGTAGTGTGCGTGTGGATGCGGCCATTCACTCTTGGAGTGACTCCACACCTGTGGGCCTGAGACTCATGAATATTTCGCATGGCTGACTGCTTCCCTCCGTGTGTGGGTGTGCGGAGGAAGGCAACCACGTGTTCGTGTGTTGTGTCATATTTTTGGGTGTCCACGTTTCTGAGGTTGTCTGTGTGTCTCTCTCTCTCTCTCCGTGTGTGTCTTGGTGTGTGTGTGTGTGTGTGTGGTGTCTGTGAGAAAGAGAAAGAAACTGTGTTCGGGTTGACCTCCCCCCTGGGTGAATCACCTCTGTGTCGTGTAAACGTCTCAACTGGTTAATTAGCAGTCAGTCACGGCACCATACCATGCACACACACACCATCCACACCACACATCATTGTCTGTCTGTCCACCATGCTGCCTGCCTCGACCGACCTTTCAGGTCTTGACACGCTCACACACAACGCAGGGGCACCCGCGCGGGGCACACACGGCCAGCACGTACGAACGCATCTGTCAGAGAGAGTCCTGCCCACCCGGGCCACCACCAGCTGTCCATCCATCCATCCATCCATCCTTCTCTCTCGCTGGACGGACGCATCTCGTTTGTTTATCGACAGGCCACTGGCGTCACGTCAACACACCCCGACACACCCCCAGGCTACAAACCACCCTCCCACCATGCAACGCAATGCAGAAGGAGGCGATCGACCCATCCATGCCATCCATCTTTGTCGGCTGCACCTCGGCAGCCACTAGTCAGTGGCCATCGGTGTGATCCGCTGCGAAGCTTTCGACCACCTACGGCAACGAACGAACGGGCAGTCTGACGCAACCGCCTGTTCATATGTCGCTGGAGGCATTCTAAAGCGCCGTCGCGTACCACACAGAGGCCGAGTAGGCGTCAGCAATAAACCAGACCGGGCCGATTGCGACACCCGTCTGTCTGCTCTCATAGCCTCGCGTTGGGAAGCGAGTGGCGAGCCATCGGAGCAGGTGACACTCACTCCACACGCTTACCTGCCCTGTCCAGCAAGCACTGAGAACAGGAAGCAGTGGCAAACCGGGAGGGGAGAGAGAGAGGGGCATAAGATAGATAGGAGGCGGCAAGGGAAGCTGGCTAGACAGACAGACAGACAGGCGAGTTCAAAGCATCAGGTCAGACAGAGAGGGAGTAAGGGTATTCACAGAGATAAAGCCGACACTCGTTAGTCAGACCGCATTGTGTGTGTATGTATCACAGACACCCAGGCAGGCAGGCACACAGGCAGACACCCAGCCAGGCAGGCAGGCAGGCAGGCACCTAATTCATCCATATCCATCCACTCACTGCGTCTCTGTCTGTCTGTGTGCGGGAAAACGTCAGACAGACAGAGAGATGTTCGCCGATCCGTCCATCATGCAGGCAGACATGCACTCAGTCCGCTCCAAACCACCCCACCCCCTAAAAGCAAAAATGCTGCCGTGGAAGGCAACCACCAACACGCGCACACACACACACACGGACAAAGAGAGCGATAGCACTCATCCATCCATCCATCCGAAGAGAAAACAGAAGTCGACGAGCTACGACGCGACGACGGGAAGCTACCGTCTATCTATCCATCCCGTAGGTCGATCAATCTGTCTGTCTGTCTGTCTAGAGTTCGTCGTGCGCCTCGTAGTCCTCCTCGCCGGTGGGGCCGCCCGCGCCGCCCGCGGCGCCGTAGACGGCCGAGATGATGGGGTTGCAGATCTCCTCGATCTCCTTGTGCTTGGCCTTAATCTCCTCGGCGTCCTCCTCAGGATGCTCCTGCATCCACTCCTCGCCATCCTTGACCTGAAGTAGTCATCACACAGAGGGAGAGAGAGATATATATATAGAGGGACGGTGACTGGGGGTGGGAGGGAGGGAGGGAGGGAGGGAGTGGTACCTACCGCGTCGAGAATTTGTTGTTTCTGGTCTTCGTCGAGCTTGTTAGCGAGTTTGTCTTTGTCCTCGACGGACTGCTTCATGCTGTGGAGGTAGTTGTCGAACGAGTTCTTGGCGTCGACGCGCTCACGCACCTTCTTGTCCTCCTCAGCGTAGTCCTCCGCCTCCCTGAGAAGGTATCACATTCACATGTGCGTGTTTTTTGTGTGAGAGGTTGGAAGGTTAGAAGAGGCTCACTTGATCATCTTCTCGATGTCCTCTTGGCTGAGCCGTCCCTTGTCGTTGGTGATGGTGATCTTTTCTGACTTGCCGGTGCCCTTGTCCTCGGCCGACACGTTCAAGATACCGTTGCTGTCGATCTCAAACGTCACCTGGTCGACACACACGCGCACACACATGTAGGCGTCAGCTGACAGGCGTGTTCTGGGTGGTGTGTAGAAAGGTGGCTGACGGACCTCGATCTGTGGGACGCCCCTTGGTGCTGGCGGGATGCCGGAGAGCTCGAACTTGCCCAGCAGGTGGTTGTCTTTTGTCATCGGACGCTCTCCCTCAAACACCTAACACACATACACACACATCCATCCATCCATCGGTGCGGCCCCTGTGTGTGCGAGGTATGTAAGCTTGTTTGGTTGCTTGCCTGTATCATGACAGCGGGTTGGTTGTCCTGGTAGGTCGAGAAGACCTGTGACTTCTTGGTGGGGATGACGGTGTTGCGGTTGATGAGCTTGGTCATGACACCGCCCACCGTCTCGATCCCCAAAGTCAGGGGCGTCACGTCCAGCAGCAGCAGCTCCTGGCCGCCCTCACCCGACAGAATACCTATCAGGCACCACACAACACAAACACACACAAAGGTGGGCGGGGCGTGTGC